TTGTGACCCCAAATACATGAGAAGGACAGTGGCATGGAGCCTTGTTGTTATATTGGTACCATCATGATGTGAGGTTCCACCTGTGTTATCCAGAACAAGTCTAAATACCAGACGCCTCTTCCTCAGTAATACAATGTTGAAGGTTTCTCCATTCTTTGAAAGCGCATCAAGCATATGTGGTCTCCTAACTTGCTCTTGCATTTGCGGTCAAGTCAGCTGACAACAGTTTGATGGCTATCAACTTAGTAGTGTAAGTCATAATTTTCTACCCTCAAACCATAGTCATGCTAATAATTAGGGAGAAAAGACACATGCATTTGAAAAATTAAATAATATTACACTTAAATAAAAATTCAAGAGAGGAAAAAAAACACGGCCTTAGCCAGTGCTGGTAGATTGTCAGGAGAGTGCTTCAGGCAAGGTTCTAAGTCCGGAGGGAAAATGGTGTGGATTCCGGGGTGGGGCGGCACACAGCCTGGTCCAGGCCGCGGACGGTGGAGGACCAGCCCACAGGACTTCCCCGTAGGGCCTCTGTTTTGTGTCTTGGATGTGGCTCTTTAAATGCTGTGATTCTTGCTTTTAATACGTCCCTGTGGACGTGGGGAGAAGAGGCCCTGCTCAGACATATTTAAATCACTGGGTAGTTCGGTGGCAGATGGAAAAGGGTTGCTTTCTGCAGTGTCCCCAAGGCTCATTGGGTTCCCTGAGCAAAGGAGCAGGACACATTGGTGGTGCCTGCCTCTGCCTCAGTTTTCCTAAGGATTAAGCAAGGTGATGAAATTTGGTGTAGATGGTGTAGATGATGTAGACCTCGATAAATGTTAGTTGAATGCTCTTTGTAGAGAAGACCTTCTGTGAAAATAATGTTGAATGGAAGTAACAGTCGAAGAGGCAACTCAGGCAGGTTTCTAGCTGGCGTGTTTTCCCTGAGGCTGCCGGAGCCTCCAAAGAGTCTCATGCTTTTGTGCTGGGGAGTGAGTTACGGACATGGCCGTGGCACATGGTGGTGGCTTGGGCTGGGCCACAAGAACCCAGGGGCGGAGGGCCCCGGGGGGCTGCCTGCCCTCTCTGCTTTCGCCGGTGCAGGGAAGTGGCAAACCGCAGGGAAATGGCAAACCGCATAGATCCTGGAATCAGAAAGTCTGGGCTTAGATCTCCTTTATGTTCCTAGTATCTCTGTCTCACAGGGGTGGGCAAAAGTAGGTTTACAGTTTGTATGGCAAATAGTATAATAATTAATACATGATAATACAAGAAATAGCCTGTTTCATGTACTCACGACTGTAAACCTACTCTTACCACCCATGTGGTCAAAGTTTTGCAAGTTACCATCCCATGCCTTGTTTTTTCACGCAAATAGGCTGGCAGTGATACTTATTTTGTAGGGCAGTTATGTAGGTCATCAGGAGACGATGTGTGTAGCAGTGCACACCACAGTGGCTGGAATGTAATAAGTGCCCAATAAATGGTGACCGTAACAATTTTTGTTGGACGCCTCATGAATGTCACACTCGGCGTGGGCTCTGTGTTGAGGCTGTGGGTTACCAGTGGTAATTACAGTAATGGTGGTTAGTGGCGAACATTAGTCCAGGGTTTACTTTGTGCCTGGCTTTATACATAGTAACTCCTTAAGTCCTTTAACAATGAGCTAAATGGCACATAGCCCCAGGAAACCGAGACCCATGATATCAAATCAGCTAGCTCTCCACTTCCCAATCGAAGAGGGGAAATAGGCTCACCAACAGACAGTTATAGCATGGAATTCCATGTGCTGGTAGTTTCTCCATAAATGATGGTTCCAGTACCTCTTTTTTCCTTTTCTCTGTGTCCCCAAGGTCATAGCACTGGTATGACCTCGTGTGAAATGTTCCTATTCTTTCCCAACACTCTTCCCCCGTCATTTACACCAAGCTCAGACCTGCCCCAGATGGCCGAGGAGTGGGGCAGAACAGAGGTTTGCTCCCCTGCCTGCACGTCATCCTTTGTCATGTGGAGTTCATTGAATGTGTAACAGTTATATATGAGGCCAGTGTTCTCGCTTAACAGAAGACTTCCCGTTTTGGAAAAGCCCGTCCTTTCCTGCCCCTTAAGCTTTGGCGAACACCCTTTTTCTGCACTGCCACTCAGGTAACTAACTAGTCACCATCACAGAGGACTTAGGCTGGCATTAAGAACAAATACCATATGATCTCACCTTTGACAGGAAGCTAAAGAGTAAAACAAACAAGCAAACAGAATAAAAACAAAGACACTGAAATAGAGAACAAGTGGGCAGCGACCAGAGGGGAGAGGGAAGGGAACTTAAGGGGAAAAAGGGGGAGGGACTTTGAGGAACAAGTATGAAAGACACAGAGATGAGGACTGGGGGGGTGGGGGGAATGGGAGGGAGGGGGGAGACTGGGCGGGGGGGGGGATGGGAGAAATAGATAAAAAAAAATGTACTTGAAAAGTAACTAAATAAAATTTAAAAAAAAAGAAAGCACTTCTTTTTTCTTATATAATAGAGAAAGATAACTGAGAAGATAAGCCCATCAACGACCATCAGTGAGTTCCAAATCTCACAGTTCAATACAAAACAAAAGATAAGCCCCAGCCCAAAGCTGTGTGGGTCAGAGGGAAGCCCTGATGCTTCATAACACAGGACTGTAGGTCACCTGGGCCCCACAGCTCCAAGGGGACTGCTGTGTTTGTGCCTTGCATTGGATGCAATGCGAAGGGAGTGCTTAGGAAATGGGAGTGCGCTCCTGCCTTAGAATTGAGGCCATGTAATTTGTGGTTATTCTGCCATTTGCCAAGGTAACCTCTTTTCATGAAAAATGTGCAGTAGTATCTAGCCAGCCTTATTCAGGAATGCACTTTATTCAGTACCAGATCAGGGTGGGGGGAGCGGTTTGAGTTCTTGCCTGATAGGAGGACCTGTAATCTGGGGTGAAGGCTGGGCATTTTGAGTGGCACTCGGGGACATTGCACCCTTGGGACGGGGTCGGACCTCATACACACACACCTCCTCATACACATGGGCTGACATTCACACACTTCAGTGTGGAAGGGGCCCAGATTCATCAAAATGCAGAAGCATTTTATTTCCAAGGGGATGGCAACATCTTATGTAATAGGTGTGTGGGGGGGGCACAGTTTACATCTGACTTCACTCTTTTCTGAAATCTGAGGATGACTGGGGGGTGAAGCTCAGTTCCGGAGCAGAGAGTCACTTTGAGCTCCATGGTTCACCCTGCTTTGGGGAGCTTGGGTACGGGTGTTTTCACAGGCCATAGAAGGGCACCTGGATGGAAGGTGTAAGGAAATCGAGTTGGGAGCTATCTTTCGAGCTCAGGTGGAGCCTCTGATGTTCATAAGCTACCTAAGCAAGGCCTGTGGTTAGTTACTCTGCTAGACCCGCTGGGTTTATTCTGTGGTCATCTTTATGAGTGCCTGCATTTCCATGTGGGGAGGGCTATGACAACTCTGGTCAAATTGTCTTCTAGAATTTGACATTTAGCTGCTGAGAGTCAGCATTCACGGGAACCTTGGCTACAAGAAATGCTTATAAAATGAGAGGTCTGGAGGCTGACAGGGTCCAAAAACATTGCAGCAGGTCTATTGAAAATACAAGGCCAAGTGACCTCCTGGGGAAAATGGGGGTATCCTGAGAGCTCAGAATGTTGATCACTTTGGGGTTACTGGTAATTCTTAGTGCCCCAGTTCCCAGATTGAGACCTGAAGGTTGAGGGGGGTCAACAAGAAATCTCGTCTCCCCCAGTCTCTGCCAAAGAGAGGCAGCTGTGCTTGGAGAACTAGGTATGGAGACCGTCTTTGCTGTGTGTACTTGTGGAGGTTGTTGTCACAACGGCCCTAGCTTAGGCCGACCAAAAGTGCAGCGGTTCTTGGGAAACGGGTTCAGAGCAGTGAGGGGGGTTGCTGGGGAGTGGAGACGGGGTGGAAATTCATGATCTACATGTAAGACTTAGTACCCGGAATCTGACCAATTAAGGGACACCTCTGTGTGCTCCTATTAACGTGGCTAAAACTAGACTTTTGGTTTGCAGACCTCCTCACCCCAGCAAATCAAAACACAAAAAATTATTTCCTTTCCCAGGACTTCCCCATTTCATAATAGTGCCTCTGTTCATTTGTGAGTTCAGATTCTAGGAGTAATTTTTTAAATCTTTCTTCCCTTTCTTTCCCTCCACCCATTATACATACAACATAGCCCAAATCCATCTGTTATTTCTTTTCTTGTACTACTTTGTGCGCCTTCATCAGCTCCCACCCAGACCACACCGAGACCTCCTTGGTGGTCGCCTTTTGTCCATTCCTGCCGCCCTACGTGCCTTCTATACAGAAGTCAGAGTAAAGGCAGCTTCTCCACTGGCCGCTGTTTACACCCTAAAGGAAGGCCTGGCCTTGGTTTGCAAAGGCCCTTGTCTATCCCTCTGATCTTAGCTTTTATTGCTTTGCTGGCTATGCTTGTGTCTGATTGCTTTCTTCTACTTGATCTTGCCCACAGTAAGTCCTGCCTTAGGCCCAGAGCACTAGCCAGTTCCCCGACCTGGAGCACTCCTTCCCACACTTCTCCACTCCCCGACACCAACCACAAGTCCGATATGCAGGCTTAAACTCTAGCATCAGCTTCTCCTGACCTCAGTGTGAGCCAGCCACTTAGTCATTCACTGTCACACTGCTCTGCGTTGTGTTTGGAGAGTACGCGTTACTTTTGACTACCCAGCTTTGTTTGTTTATTGTTTGGTGGCTTGCCTGCCTCTGTGCCTGAGAATGTAAGCGTCATGAGAGCAGGGGCCTTATCTGTCTTGCTCACTGTACCCACTGCCCAGAGCAGTGCTGATTCAGAGGGATACGTGAAATACCTGTCAAATGAAGTACTGAACCTGCTGTACTCAGCTTGGCACTGGAAAGTTCATCAATGACCTCTGGTGGTGGGGCCTGCCTTCCTCCTCCACTGTTTCCTGGGGTCTGATCCCTGGTCTTCTGTTCCCTTGCAGCCGCCCATGCCAACTTCCTTTCCCGTCAACGGTGCAGCAGCACAGCCCGATGTCCTCCCAGAATTCCTCCGTCAGCGGGCCTCTGCACTCCACCTCCTTGCCGCTCCCACTTCCGGTGACCCTGGCAGCACCCCAGCCCCCGCCTGCTGCCTCCCCCAGCCAGCAGCTTGGTCCAGATGCGTTTGCGATTGTGGAGCGAGCTCAGCAGATGGTGGAGATACTGACAGAGGAGAACCGGGCTCTTCATCAGGAACTTCAGGGTTACTATGACAATGCCGACAAGCTCCACAAGGTGTGTGACTTCCCGAGGGAAAGGGAGGGGGTAGGTTCTGTAAAAGGGACAATAAGTCTTTAACTGCTCATGGGGGGTTGCTTCAGTGTTAACTAGATCCCTCCTGATCCAGGTACTATCTGTGCAAGGTCTGAGACAAAATAAATTTGACATGGTGCCTGCCTTGGAGATGCTTACAGTCCAAAAGGGGAGAGTTGCCTGAGCTAAGTAATACCTGCCGTAGAACGTCAGGGGCTACAGCAGGTACATTGGAGGTGGCCCTGGACCCGAGACTCAGAGTCTAAGTAGCATTTTCCCAGGTGGACAGTGTGGAATAGAGAACACTGAGAGCAGCACAGGGCAGTGAGTGGAGAGAGACAAGTTTTTCTTTAAATCTGGGAGTCTCAGACAGCAGCCTTGGGACCGCCATGCTTATTTCATTAGGGGGTCTCTGCCAAAGCAGCCTTGTTTCTGTGCACTCTGCACTTGTGACTTGTCAGGGGAAAGATGCTGTGTAAACCCAGCCTGTGTAGTTACCATGGGAACGTTAGAATGTACGGCAGGTAGCCTTCATCCTTCCGGCTTTACGCTAAGAGCCAAAGTCAATGGGAAAACATCTAGCAAGAGTGAAGTGTTGCGGAGAGTGGTTTCATGATGACCCACATGTCTGCACCTGAAATGCTGCAGGTAGATGAGGTGAGGGGGCAAAGGTAATGGGTGTTTTAAGGCAGTGGAGCCACAGGGCCCTTGAGTTTCCTTTTGGCAGCCGAGGAGGCTTGTGTGGTGGAAGGCATCTTTAAGAGTCTATCAAAGTGCCTGGCTCTGTTTTGGACAGCCAGGGGCTTTTGTAAAGAGAAAGGGTAGGAGCACAGATGCTGCCTGACCACAGGAACATTGTCATTTGGCTCTACATGACAGTTAATGCTCCTGATGGCCATTTAGTGTTCACTGTTCAGTACTGATCTCACAGAGAGTCTGCTCTTATTGCTGCTCAGGGTTTCAGAACGGTCAGCGCCTCTGACATTTTGTGGGTCTGTAGTGAACAGCTGGGAGCAGCGGGTTTAATGGTACAAACGTGCACAGACAGAATCCGCCCCAGCACGTTTCTGCGGAGCTTCCGTGACATGGTCTGGAGCTCCCCGGAGGCAAGACCAGGCTTGGCTCAGAGAGCTTTGGCTGCCTTTATGGGAGGGGGAAAATGAGAGCCAGAGACAAATGGGCTGCCTAAATACTGCTGCCTCACCACCACCCCAGCCACACCCTTAGAAGGCGAGTACCAAGCCTGCCGTGCCCTGGCCTTGGCTCTCATCACTGCCCAGGCCCAAGCTTGCCTCCGACACCTCCCCAGCAGCCTCTTTCCAGGTATGGTCTAAAAATTGGAAAGGGCCAACTCAGCCCTTCTGGAAAATAAGCAGTTCTTTCTTCTTGCTAATGGAGCTCTGGCAGACATCTCCAGGAGTTATGCAGACCCACCCGAGGGCAGAGTTTTGAACAGTTACATGGAGCATGCAGAAATTGGGAGGTTTTGATATTCTTTGTTGACTTGTTTATTAATATGTACTTTATTGACTGGTAACATACATATCTTTCTTGATTTCGTTACACATTTCTATTTTGAAAAACAAAAATTCATCTCCCAGTGACTCAGTTTCTCTGCACAGAGGATGATTCTTAAATTCTGTGGCCAAAAGGATTTTGATCACTTCTGCAAAAAAAAGAAAAGTTAACAGCTGTTTGCCTTCTGAAAACCAAGCCTCCTTCAGTACCTTGAATATCATAATATTTCATTTCATTGCTCTGTCATATATCACACTGGAATTTTCCATTTAAAAACTCAGATGTTGACAAATACTGGCCACACTCACCCCTGGTTCCATAGCTGTGCTCAACAACTCAGACCACGAGACAGAGGAGCTGCATGAACTCTGCGACTTAGCATTTCACGGCTTGTGTTCCCAGGCCCCTCTTAGCATCAGCCTCAACACTCAGTTGCCTCTCAGCAGCTGCTTAATTAAGCCTGAGGTCGGGGGAGAGGACTGTCGGATGAGGTGACAACTGCGCTTCACAGCGATGGGGACCCCCACGTTGGGTGGAGCTACTGTATCGCGGCTCATACAATGGTGCCCCCTGCCAGCAATAACATCCAGTCCAGGATCCTCACGCTATGAGACTCTTGGAGAGATTCATTGTAAGGGAAGAACCAAAAATAGAAGAATGTTTAATTGCAGGGCTTAGTCTCTGCACACCAGGCCAGGGACGGAGCAGGAGAGAAGGACTAGACTTGGAGCCTGCCGCAGCCCCGCCTACATGGGATGGCCCTGTTCCTGTTGGAGGTGGAACGTGGTTTGGGGACCCTCTGGAAAGGGTTGTTTTTCAGTATTTCCTTTCCGTCACTCATTTGCTTCTTGTTCTTCCTAGTTTCTCTGAAACATAATTAATGGACGGAACTTCCAGCAGGACCAGACTGGGGGCTACTGAGTGGATTGGCTCAGAAGACATCAGGGCATAGACGGACATTTGAAGGGAAAGGGCTCCAAGGCATTTGGAGGCTGGCGTCCGTGGAGACCCTCTTTTGTCAGCACAGCGGTGGCGCCTCTGGCTGGGCAGTCCATGACTGGGACCGCAGGCCTGTCTTTGGTCCTGCGGCTCCCTGAGCTGTGCATGGGAAGGTGCTCAGGGAAGGAGCTTGGAGCGGCTGAGATTTTTCAGGGCCATTCTCTGCCTGTTTGCTTCATGCTAGCAGGGCTTTTGACTCTGCACGTGGTTCTGTGTCTGGGACAGTGAGTGCTTAGGAAGATCACACTCAGACTCTGTACTAGCCCAGTTAGTTTTTATATCAAGACCAGTCTGTCCAACCTTCTCTTCATCTTAACAAACATCAGAGAGGACTTAAGGTGCTCTGTGGTTCTCTCTCTCTCTGAAGGACTGTGCAATTAGAAATCATAGAGCTTTAGACTTAAAATTTTTTAAATGATTCCAGCCCAATTTCCCACCCCTTAGGAATCTTTGCTTCAGGCCCCTGAAAGGTCATTGATTTTTCACTTGAATGGTGCACTTCTGGAGAATGTAGTTAGGAAATGCTTGTTGAATGAAAGTCTGCATCTTTTTAACTTCCTGCATTTAGTCATCATTCTGTTATCTATAACCACAATAAAGGAGACTAGTCTGTCTCCTTTGTGACAGCTGTCATTTCTCACAGGAAATACCTTATCCTGACCTAAGATTATTGCCCTTTCTGTTTCGATTAGTACAAGCATACAACCATATTCAATTTCCTGATTGTTTAGTATTTGAGATTGTAAACTATGTTGTCAGAGGGTTCCTGCAATTTCCTTTTGTAGTGTGCAGAGAGAAGTTTCTTTTTTACACTATTTATTGATTGTTTTAAGAGAGAAGAAAGGAGGAGCGAGAGAGAAATATCTATTTGTTATTCCACTTGTTTATGCTTCGTTGGTTGATTTTTGTATGTGCCCTGACCCAGGATTGAACCTGCAACCTTGGCGGGTTCGGGACAATGCTCTAACCAACTGAGCTTCCTGGCCAGAGTGGAAGTTCTTTTAATGAAAGGAAAGAATTCAAGACTGCTTTTAGGAGTTATATGTTTAAAAGTTAATTAATCAATTAGTATTTTTGTCACTGGCAGGGCACACTTCTAGGGCCATGAGAACTATTTCTGCTTTTAAGGAATCGACGCTCAAATCAGACACACGAAATGCGCATGCACATCTGAATTCCAGTCAGGTATCTGCAGCCAATGAGCAGTGAAACCTGATGGCAAGGTTTCTGTGGGTGGCGGAGTTGAGGAAAGCCTCCTAGTTGTCCTGGGCTTTGAAGCACAAGCATTTCACCACCACAGGCACTGTGTAAGTATGCATGTCTGGGCGCAGGCCAACTCCAGATACCAAGTTCCTGAAGACCAGAGTTGTCTTACTTGTTCTGTATCCTTAGCACCCAAATACATAGTAAATGTCCAATAGATACCTGTCAGGATATATTTTATTTATAGGAATCTCAGCAAGGACTTTCTGCTTTGGGCAGTTGGGGTGCCTGGCTCATGGTGACATCTCTGTGGAGACCAAAAACATGGTGCAGGTCTCTTGGTGCCCAGTGAGGGGCACTAGTGCTCTCAACCCTGCCACTTTGCCTCTGATCCCGACTTTTAGCAGTTCATCAGGTCTCATGTTTGCAGGTGCTCTTCGTCCTTCCTCCTGCGCTTGTTATACAACCATGAAATGGGTTTATTGATTGCTACTGCATCTTTTGGTTTCCAAAAAACACTGTTAGGTTAGCGTCCTGTTACCACAGTTACAATGACTTATTACAGGTTTATATATGCCACAGACTAAATGCTCTCTCAGTTACACCTCTTGATACAGTGAAATACAGAAGGAGAACAACAAAAAAATTGTTTTAACCCCATATTTTTCAATTCCTCCACTCAAAGAGTTTTCTGTGGTATATTTGTTTATAATTAGATACACGTCCATTAGTCCTATATATAGATGGTTCTGTTAAAAGGGGGGTTAGAATGCTAAGTAAAGAAGCATCTCCCCAAGTGGGCTTTCTGTCCCTTTGGGGATGGGTAGGAAGGTCTCTGGAAGAGCACTGTACTTGGACTCTGGAAATTGGGGTCCAGTTGAATTGGGGTCCTTCACTTATTCTGTTTTAGTATTTTCCCTTATGTTAACCAGAAATAATAATAATAATAGTTATAAATTGCCATGCAAAATATAAGAAGCCTAAGCTATGTTTGTATTCACCCCTTTCTTATATTGGTACAGAGGGATTTTTCCAAGGTGACATCGGATGGTCCAGCCAGATGTGGGAGTCTGCTCTTTGCAGGATCCTAATGTAGCCCCTAGAGGGCAGACGGGAGTGGGGGTGAAATCACTTACACCAGTGGTTTTCAACCTTTTTCATCTCATGGCACACACAAACTAATTACTAAAATTCTGCACACCAAAAAAATATATTTTTGTCTGACAAAAAATAGGTATAATTTTGATTGATTTACAAAAATAATAATAGTAGTAATTGCCTACCCTTTTTGTTTCAAAGTGACTTTTTAATACAACAAGTACCTAGGATTTCTGGTACCAAAAATTAACCAATCAGATGCAACCTTATTATGCAGCATGACCAATGAGATGCAACTCTATTATATGATCTGTATGTTTGTGGTTCATACAGGGCATTCAAACCACTCAGCTGTTGTGTTGGCTCTTGTCATGTTTTTATTTGACAGTCTAAGGGAGAAGAGGTCAGTGCCCCTGACTAATCGTCAGGAATTGCATGTTTTAAAAATCCTTGCAGCTCTCCAGTGTGCCTCTTGGAGCACCCCGGTTGAAAGTCACTGAATTACGCAGTTTGGGTAGACATGAGACTTGAGATGCAGAAAAGGCTGCATTGAAGATATAACCTTCACACTTGGAATGTCAAAGAGTTAGTGTAACTGTAAGGCACCAATATGAATGTCAGAGTCCCACTTTCATGCCACTTCTTTCTTTTAGTTTGAAAAAGAACTTCAGAGAATTTCAGAAGCCTATGAGAGTCTGGTCAAGTCTACCACCAAGCGAGAGTCCCTGGACAAGGCGATGAGAAACAAACTGGAGGGCGAGATTCGAAGACTTCATGATTTCAACAGAGACCTCCGAGGCACGTCAGGTTCCATTCACATTCTCTCTGCCCCGCACCTCCCGAGTAGCCAACAGCCTGACTTCAGGTTCAGGTTGTGTTAAGTAATCTCGTAAATTCCAAGCACCTGGGGAAAGGGCGCTCAAAGAGCAGAATTCATTTTTCTGCCTTGCAGGTCGTAGGTTGCAGCACTGAGCCTGAGAAGTGACAACCTGTGTGAGAAGTGAGGGGGTTTGTGTGCAATTTCTTCCTGCATGAAAAATGTTAACAGTGACTCATGACTGTGCAAATGGGAACGTTTGAAAAGACCAGTGTTCGATGCACAGCTCTTCTCACGTCAAGCTGAGTCACTCGGTATCATGCTTTGACAGCCAGCACTTTACACTTGCTTGGTACAGTGTGGAAGACAGAGCTAGACGTGTGTCCCTCATAGGGAAAAATAAAGGCCCACAGTTGTGAGTGTGTGTACACTCACTCACCCGTATATACTCCCCAGAAGCTGGGAGCCACCTGCCCCAGGGTCTCGGCAACCTCCCACAGACAGAATGGTTTGACTGGTAAAATTTAACTTCACTTTCAGTCAGCCAAGCTGCTTTTCGGTTGCCTCGTCTGCCAGAATACTCAGGGTATTGGTAGTCTGTAGTAGCTAGACCTCACCTCTTCTACTGCTACAAACAAACCTTTTTATCTTGTATATCATATACATTCAATGAAAACTCATTAGGCTGAATTATTTAATTGAATAAATGAAGATTTATTTACCAATTGGTTTGAGCAAAACTAACTGTAGAATCTTTATTGGGTCATTTTGACCTTTTTTAAATATCTATTTAATTGTATTTATTTATTTATTTATTTATTTATTTATTTATTTATTTATTTTGGTTTCAAGATTGAGGTAACAGTCGTGGGCTAAAAACAGAAGACTCGTGGTCAAGGTTAGGCTAGGGCTGGGTTTGAGGCCAAGAAAAGTCAACCCCTTGGCAAGGACTTCAAGCCAGAGGTTTGCTCGTGGGCAACAAAGTGGTTTATTTTAGGGTTTGTTCTTAGCTGCCTTTTCTGCTGGTGCCTGCCTTGGCATTCCATTGCATAAAAGCACGGCGTGGCATCCAAAGACTTTTTCTAACAGTCTGGGATGTATTGTTTCTCCCTAAAAGTTGTTCAGTGTGAGGCTCCTGTCTGAGCAGTTCTCTTCCTGCCCCAAGATTGATTGATTGATTGATTGATTTATAGAAAGGGAAGGAGAAAGAGAGGACGAGAAACATCAATGTGTGGGTGCCCTTCACACGTCCCCACTGGGGACCTGGCCTGCAACCCAGGCATGTGCCCTGACTGGGAATCGAACTGGTGACCCTTTGGTTCTCAGGCCCACACTCAGTCCACTGAGTGACACCAGCCAGGGCTGTCTGAGCATCTCTTCATACCTGCTCTTGGCTCCGTGTCATTTCTCTGTGGACAATGATTTAGGTCCCCTTGTATTTCTTCCTGATTGTTTTCTCTTCGTGCACAGATCGCCTGGAGACGGCCAACAGGCAGCTGTCCAGCCGGGAGTATGATGGGCATGAAGACAGAGTGGCGGAGAGCCGTTATGCTTCCCAGAGTGAGTCTCCACTTACCCCTCCTAAAGCTGGTATTCATAAAAACCGGGGCCTGAGAAAAGAATCCTGTTCTTTTTAAGGGGGTTTCATGCTGTGCGCGTTTTGTTTTCTAATTCAGCGTGTAAGCTGTTGGGCCTCCTGGGTCTGCCAGACAAAGCCGAGGTGGTTAGGTATGAGTTCAGTAGTGTTTATTCTGACCTTCTGACCCGGGCCACCTAAAGGGTCACATCATGTCATCTCCACATGTGATGCTTGTTTCCAAAGACCAATGAGCCCATTTCTTCCCAGAATAAAATGAACCGTGGCTTCCTCTGTGCCTCCAGATTTATTGGGAGGATAGTGTATTAATTTCACCAAAGGCAAATGATAGAATCAAATGGGTTCTGAGAAACACATCGGCCAGGGTTAGAATTTCTGCAAATTCATTGTACAAGTCAGAAATGTAAAAAATACAACTTTCTCTTTTTAAAGCTGTTTAGAAAATTGAATTCATTTCCCTGTCATAAATCTCAAGAGCATTGCGAATGAAGTGCTTACAAACTACAGACAATTCAAACGACAAAAGCCACTTACTCAGACACTGGCCCTCCATTGTGTAATGGCAGCATCCGATGCTGTGTCCTCCAGTTTTCAAGGCTGGGAATTAATTGGTTAGGTTTTCAAATTCCCCGTACTGTTTGGCTGAGTTAAGTGCCTTTGTTTCCCCCCAATTTACTGATGGTTGCACTCCAGTTTTTAGTCTCGGCTTCATTTTTAAAAATCTGTTTTGGCAAATGGATACTCATACTGTCTAGGGTTTTTGCATCAGATGCTTTGTAGTCTTGCAGTAGGTAAATTGGCCTGAGCTCCAGACTCACATAAAAAGCTACCTGAGCATCTCGAAGTATTGACTTTCCCAACAGAATTGATCTCTTCCTAAGCGTGCGGGAGATTGACCATCTCTTCTGAGCTCTCCTTTGAAAAATGAGTCACATGTACTATCTGCATGTTGTCCCTTCCCTTTGGGTGATCAGATGCCCAGGCAGAGTCAGTGTCTGTGGCGGTTTGGCCAGCAGTGTCACTCTGCTGATGCACTGCCTTTTTGTCAGGGGACATTATTCTCTCGCTAATAAGTTCAGGTCCAAATAGGAAAGCCAGTTAGTTTCACCTGAGGGGCATTTGCTCTAGCCTCCTAGCCCAGGCTGTGCTGATGGAATGATAGAGTTTGGTGCTGTATGAGTTCAGAAATGTTCCTGAGGATTTCAACTTTCTGGCTCAAAGCTAAAACATTAATAATGCAGGCAAAAATGCCCTTCCAGCTTTATAGTCAGTGTTTGTTCTGTGCAGACACACTCCATTGTGTTCCAAAGGCATAGACGGGAGAGTCCAGAGACATTTTTCAACCGCTTACAGGTATCTCAGTGCTGACATGTGCTGTAATTGAATCTAGGCAAGGCATCTGAAGCAGGCTAGCGAACAGTGATACCTAGCCAGTTTTTCAGCACCTGATCTTCAGGACACTTTGTGCCCTCACCGTGCTTCTCGATTGTTTGCATTAGCTTTCCCTCTCCTGGTGTGCCCAAGAGATGAACTCAAGATGTTGTTTAACTTACAGACAGGTTTTTTTCCTTGGTGACTTGTGAGGACTAGCATGCCCCATGCCATATATGTTGCAAATATTTCCCCCAGTTGTTGTTTTTTTTTTTACCTTTGATCATGGTGTCCTTTATTTTACAGAACATTTTTAGTAACTATATTTATGCCTCCTGGGTTTTATGTCATGCTTAGAAATGCTTTTTCCCACTCCAAAATTATAAAAATATTCACCTCTGTTTTCTTCAGATATTCTTATGATTTCATTGTTTGCAAGGCTTATATTTTAGAAGCTAGTTAGGGAAGAAAAGTAGAAGAGAAATTCATTAGAAACGAATCTGGAGGCAAGCAGACTCGTAACAGATATTTTCGTACCTGGGTAAGAAAGACAGAGGTCCCGAACTAAAGACAGAAGGGGTAACGGAGAGTCGGGGAAGATAAGCAAGTACCAGCTGAATGATGGCAGTAAAAGAGAGAGAAAGGGGTGTGACAAGAATAACTAGGTGGGTGGTCAGTCTTCTAAGAAAAAGCAGAAGGCACAGGTTGGGATTAGATGATGAGTTTAAGTTTGAACGTGTCGAATCATCTCATACTTTGGCCTGCAGGTAAGCGAGCAGGTGTGATCCCAGTAGGTGCCCACGTGCCTCACGGGCTGGCGATGGGCCGTGCTCTCTGCCAGGCTTTCACTTCAGCCTGTGGGTCTGGAATGGCAGGCCTGAGTTACTACCTCTCTTTATAGTTATATCACTGTGCTCTGTTATCTCTATATTCTTTTGAAACTCTGTTATAAGAACACTTTTCAAATGCCCAGAAATCATACTGATAAACATTGCACACTCAAGAGGAGCCATCCTTTTTAAGTGAGTCTTTGAGATTCTAGCATTTAGCTAAGAGAAGGAAGGGCAAGACTGGCAAGCAGAGAATGGCGATTTCTCTGGGTAATGCATACCAAGGAGCTAAGGCTCACCTGGGAAGCCTCTGGCAACCCGCTTGGCCAGTGGGACAGTTAGAGGGAAGGTGAAAGTAGTGAATAACACCTTCGGCTTCTTTGCTAGGTATTCATGGTGAGCTAGGAGTCCAGGTTCAAAAACACCCAAGGCGCTCTGGCCGTGTGAGCTGTTGGTAGGACTTCGGTGACACTCTCTTAGTTAATGGAAGGGGAAGGTCCTTCCTGGCCTCATTTTTAAATTTCCTTGCTGTCCAGGGTAGTTTTTTTTTTTTTTTTCAAGACTGAACTCTGCTCTTTTGTTGGAGCTTGATGAAGGCCCTGGTGGACTGCCAGGGCTTTACCACTTAGCTTACAGGGAAGGGTGAGCATTAAACAGGGTGGTCATTGGGCTCCTCTCAGTCGTGTTAAAAAGCTCACTGGACGGAGTGCTTAGACTTTGGTGACTGTGACAAACTGTTTTTTCTGTCACATCATGGTGTCGCAGTATTCTCATTGGAGGAATTCACAGTTTTGTGTGTTTGTTTTCTGGTTGTACTTTTTTGTTTTTTAAAATATTTTTGCAGCCAAATTGCTCCTGAAAAACAGGACATCCTGTGTGGTCTGGATGTGTGCAACTGGGGCTTCGTCCTTTAACTTCTTCAACTTACTGAGATTTCTGGTTTTGCTATTCATTTAGTTGTCACACACGCATGCGCACACGCACACAGGCATGTGCGCACACACACTACTGTCCAGGAAAGACAGAGCCCTGGGATTGTCTGTCATCTTCTCGGTAAGTGGGACTTTGTAATCCTTTCTTTCTGAAAACTGATAAGTGCACAGAATTTCCATCATCATGAGGCCAGAAAGCCAAAAATAAATATTAGACGTGGGGGAAACTAGATGGATAGAGATGATCTTACTACATTCTTGGGTTGGGTGGGAGCTGGGTGGCTCTGGCCTGCATGTGTTACTCCAGCACACGGCCAAGCCACGTGCGAGGACCCCGAAGAACCTACCGCCGCCCCGTCTGCCTGCTTTAGGCAGCCTGGGTTCAGCATAATTGGTTAAACCTAATTCTCCGAGAGTTAGATACTGGTTGTTAGACAGTATCTCCCTCTAAGAAAAAAATGTGTGAGCATTCAGTTATTCATTTAAATTAATGAGTAATGAGTATAAATGAGTCAGAACTCATATATACTTTTGAGTTTGTGCATAATTTCCCTGGGTTTAAAAGTTTTTTAAAAATGTGTGGGACCACGACAGTTACATAGTGTTTTAAACATAATAGTAATTTACCATTTCAGTGTGTCTTACAATCATCATCTTACCCTTGAATCTTATTTTAAGTACTTTCTTTGATTTTTTTTTTGTCTCGTATACAATGTTAAAAGAGACTGAAATAATTTTCTGAAAGAAAAATCCCTCTGGGTTTTGTATTTTCATAAGGGCTCATGTGAAACACAAAGCAGAAATTACAGTGACATGAACATTAATTCCATGGATGCTTACGGAGCATAAGGAGATTATTTCGAATTCTCGTTTCGTTTCATTACATCATGCTGTGGGGCGCTGCAGGCTTCGTTAGGAAGGCCAGGTCAGTGTTGTTGCACGTGAACGCACTGGTTCTCCTCCCCTGGGTGCTTGCAGCGCCACCTGACTCAGCGCAAAGCTCCTACTCTGTGCATTCTGTGGGGGCACCAGTTAGCTACATGGATGTCCTCCACTAGATGAGAGACCGGCAGGCATTCTTAACCGTCCTCCATCACCAGCCCTCACTAAAACACCTTAAGTCTTTATGTGCTCAATAACTATTCAGGCGATGGATAAATATGTAAAGTCCTTGTAACAATAGGCTTGAAATTCTCCTCGGGCAGCATCAGTATAAAATGTCCTTTTCAGCTCAGTGTTTCCCAGTCACGTTGGGAGATGCCCCTGGCTATTCTCAGTTATTTCCAGGCATTAGACAAAACTATTTTTTTGAAAACTGCAATCAGAGTAGAAGCAAATTAATAATGCTTGAATTCTTTTTTGCCTTCCTTCTTCCTGCCCTCTTTTTTTTTTTTTTAATGGAGGATATCCAGGTAAGGGGAGTCTTTCAATGTTAGGAACAGTGATATTTTTCATGAACAGTGGTTTAACATAGTTGATTTCTGACTCCCTTGATTCCTTGTCTTTTACTCTGAAGGAGATACGTTGAGGTGGCAGTTGGCCGTGGTAGGTAAAGGTTTTTGTAGCAGCCGGACAGACGCTTGCCCTGACCGAGCTGTAGGCCATGCCAGGCGCCACAGACCTGCCTGGGCAAAGGCAAAGAAATTGTCCATGAGGGCCTGCCAAGATGGCATCATTTAAGTTAACAAAATTTTCTTGCCCTAAATTTCTAACTGATTTTCCTTAAACATGACCACTATACTTAGCAGGACTATGCAGCTGTAAAAAATGAAAAATTCTGTAGGCACAGCCTTAAGCAAACGATTTTGGATCAGTCCCTGCGTCTTCTAA